CTGTCTTCTGATCTTTGTTGTAGATCTTTGCTGTAGTTATAATCTTCGCATGTACTGCAGTTCAGGTGCAGCTCTACAAAGTTTGAACTTATCTAGCTGCATCTGGCTTGGGTCTGGCTGCTGTGCTCAGCTTCTTCCCGCTGCTGCCCTTAAGGGTGAACCTGTTGTGCCCCTGTGGTGAGATGTTCTGCTCCTGGACTAGCTGGTTGGTTCTATCCTCTACACTCTCTGCAGGAATTGCAGCTGCAGGATTATACCTCAGGCGTGTATGCCAGGCCTGAGCTGTGCCTGGAGGGGGCAAGGTGAAGTAGGGGGAAGAGGAAGCTCTCCACACACACTCACGGGACCTGGGCTAGGACTGCGTCTGGGGGCTCTGGGGACGGGGAAAAATTCCTACTCGGTGGGCGGTGTGGGGGAGGCACTGCGGAGTGGTGGTGGGCGGCCCAAGGGGCTGGGAGAGCGTCTGGCCCACACTGCGCCTGGGCTGGGACTGGTCCCGCTGGTGCAGGGTAGCAGGAAGCTCTCCGCACACTCACTGGACCTGGGCTAGGACTGGGTCTCTACTTTTAATTTAAATAAGGATATCAACCTCATTTGTTTTAGTCTTCTAAGATTAATGGTGATTGTGCACACCCTCCCACTGTCTCCAAGTTTGCATTGTCTTTGTGCCCAAAATGTTTTTCTCAAAACATTTTCCTTTAAATGGAAGAGATAAGAAGGAACCATGTTCTTGTGGGGATCTGAGAACTATAATACATTTCCTTTGGGAAATGTCTTTTATTGTGATCCCGTTCAGAACAAAAAGGGGTCATTGTTTTCTTAGTGAATACTCCTTTTGACCACTGTGTATTCTGCCCTGAGAATCCCGTGGCTGCAGCCATGTACAATAAAGGCCCATAGTTTTAAAGTTTTCCATTTTTCTTTCCTTCTCTGTTAGGAGAAGCCTTATCTGCATGTTATCTACATACATCTTAATAATCCACCCTTTAAAAATTTAGATCAACAGTTTTAGTACAGCACAGCACAGCACAGTGTAGCATGTTCAACTATTAGCATTATCACTTTCTGAGCATTTTATCACCAAAAGAGAAATCCTGTTCAATACCAGTCACTCCTCATCCCTGTGCCCTCCAGCTTTAGGTAATAGCTGCTGTCTGTCTCTATAGATTTTCCTGTTCTGGGTATTTATATATATATATACACACATTCATACAGTGTATAATCCTTACAATTGGCTTCTTTCAAGACATAATATTTTCCAGGTTCATCCACATTGTAACTTATATCAGCACTACAAAATTAACCCATTGTAAGGATGTGCCACATTTTCTTTATAAGTTCATCAGTTGTTGGACAGTTGAGTTGTTTCCACTTTTTCTATTGTTAGAAATTATGAACATTTGAAGTTTTGAACATGATTTTTAGAACATCATGAACATGAACATTTTTATACCAGTTTTTGTATGGACAGATATGCTTATGAGTGGAATTACTAGATCATGTAGTGGTTCAATCTTTTTTTTTTTTTCAAAATTTTAGTGATAAATGGATAGCAATGAGATAGTTTCAAATCAAATCGGTAGTACAGTTTCAATAACTAACACACTGCATATATTCTTCTTAGTGGTTAATTGCTGTACAAGATTCGGACTTGAGATCCTATTTACAAACACCATTAGAACAAATCATTCTATTCAGTAAGAGAATGTAACTATATATCTATCCTAACCACTTTGAATACACAGATACAAAATGGATATTCATCTGTATACCCCTTTTTTTCTAAGTTCCGCTATTTGAATATTATAGGTGTGTAAACTCATCAAAATATTCTAAAAGAGTCCAGTAGCCCATAAATAGTATTGGGTCTTCTGTTTAACTGGCAATGTCAGAAATTATTGACCTGAGTCCCCCACAGCTCAACATAACAGCATGGCTTTACTTCCTATA